CAATCTTGTAGTCTCTGGCTGTGGCTTGGGCTATTTTTTTGGGTTGGTTTTGTGGGTTTTTTCCCTTCTCTTTTCTTTTTCATGCATCAATATGGTTATTAAAAGGCCTGACTGGGTCCACAGTTACATGTGGACAAACTTACTATTTTGAAATCAAGTCCTGGGCTGTTACTATTTTTGTATTATGGCCTGCTTGTTAGGGTGCATCTGGATTTGAATCTTAATATGTTTTAAGTAAATAGGAAACTTGAAAGTAATATTTAAGTATTGTGGAACCTTGCAGAACTCAGTACATATTTCACAAGCCCTGTTGGTTGTTAATGATGATCCCTGAAATTAGAAGGAACTGTCATTTTGATGCATAAATAAATACATGTTGCAGTAGAAGCAATGAAATCTAATTTTTAAATAAAAGCTCTTATTTTTAAATAAGGCAGTCTTCAACTGTTATTAACTACCACCAATCAATTCATACTAACTGCTCATTTACTTTCATGGATTAATTTAATTCTGGACTAGGTCTTTGGCTAATGAGAATAAAATGCAGAAAAATAAACCTCACAAAACCAAACAAACATATTCCCCCACTCTCCTACCCCTCCCCCCCAACCAAAAAAAAAAAAGGGAATAAAAAAGGGAATCATAAAAATGTAGGCATATGACTTGAGGTACACATGAGGAACAGATGTGGCAAGTAAGAAGATGCTCACTTTTCCACATGCCAAGTAAAAGGGCAGCCTAATCCCGTGGGTGAGAAAATTGCAGAGAATTGACCAGATTATGACAAGATACCTTATTTCTATTTTCAAGACTTAGGTCTCCATACACCACCCAGAACCCCAGGAATCAGAATTTGCTTTTGAGCCCCGAGGCTGTTATCTGCAGCTGTGCAATGTAGGAGCACACTTTGGATACATCAGTATTTGAGGGCACTGGCTAATTTTTGGCTAGCAGTGCAAGTGCGTGTCTGTTTGCTGATGTAACCATGTCGTGTCTCACATAACTTCTGCAAGGCAGGTACAAGCTGCAGAGTGGTGAACCACTCAGACCTGATGATGGGTCATCTGCTTACATGGTTAGAACCAGTCAGCCTCAATTTACTAAGAATACCCACACAGTCGATGATATTCCAGTAAGTTCAAATTCAGAGATAAGGAGTTCTTATTTTATTTGAGAGTAAGTGATGGGTAGATCTTCGTGCTACCCGTGAACAGGGCAGACACTCCTCTGCTAGATTTGCACATAGCATTCAAACACTCAGCTTGGACTGCTGCAGTGCTGTACAGGGCTACACCCTCCCAGCATCACAGAATAGGGCTGGTTATGTTTTTATGAAAGTATTTCTTGCTGTCTTTACTGCTAGCTTCTGGGTCCAACAATAGAGGGTTTTTTTCCAGTAACTTGGTGTTTTGGAGAGCCTGTTAGGAGACACTGAACAAGGTTGTTCATATTCATGGAGCAAAAGGCAGCTCTGACAGTGACTACCTGCGTTTGCTTTCCCTCTTGTCTCCGAGCACACGAATGCACTCAGAGCTCATGTGTTGAACTGTCTTTTTCTGACAAATGTTGGGAGAACTCAGTACTCTCTCTTGCACAGGCTTCGGTAAAAGATTTTAGCTGCTGAACAAGAATTTTCTGTCTGAGTCATAGTGAAGACAAGTAGTTTAGGGAGTATGGAGGAAATCCTCACAAACCAGAAGTCCAGGCCTTCTCTTACACTAACCTGGCAAAACTGTAGCTAGTAAGGACGCTGGAACCTCCTGCAGTGAGAGATGTATGGTCCCAGGTGTAAGTGGCACTCTGCTCTTAGATTTCCATCTGCTTTCATGCAAGGTACTGTTTTAGCATGCGAAGTACTAATTACGAATCTGAAACCTCTGAATGGGAAGCTGTTCATTCATACTAAAGACCTTTTCCTGGGGGCATAGTGCCTTTCAATGAGGGTACACAAGCTGGAAGCTCATTCAGATATCAGGAAGTTGACAGAAGGCAGAATGTTATCTGAGAGAGCTTGGAACTGGTAGTCCCAAAATCCTCCTACTTCAAGGTGGGCTGCATCTCGGTATATTTGGTTCCTGAGCAATGAGAGGGAGGATGATAATGGGATCTCATAAATCTCACAGCATACAGTAGCTGATTGGTTGGAATATACATTAAGTGCTGGGTGAAGAGGAGCTTTTTTTAGAAGTAGACTGTTTTATAACTATATTTTAAATGTTTCATGGAATGCCTAAAGCAAAAGATAGCATTTCTTTTTAATCAGGGTATTTATTTGTTGAAATAAATGAATAATTTATTTACTTGCTATCTTGGTTGTATGTCTTCTTTCTGTGGATCCTTGTCAGGATGTACTTCAAATGGATATTTTTAGACAGCAGTGTTGGTCTTGGGGAATAATTGAAGCATAGCAGTAGGTGAGTTATATGTCCCTGTAGTTGGCCTTTGGACCTTTTGAATGTCAATTTTTATAGTAATTTCGTTACTTGAAAACATGCCGTGGTGATTAAGTGTTCACATCTTTTATCCCAGAAAATCAGTTGCCATCTTTGCATTGATCAGTCAGGAATACTGCAAGCCTTACTATGTTGTGTTCAGCTGTCTCCATGATACACATAAAAGAAGTACAGGGTAATTTTTCCATCTGACTTTCCTTCAGTCTGATCTTGTCTCTACTGTTGTTAATGCAGATCAGGTAGTATAACTCAAAGGAGTCTAAATGCACGCCTCCTAAGTATGTTTATGGGTATTTGTCTAATTATTTGTCTATTTTGACAGTGACTTGTGTGCATACGTGTTTGTGTATTTATTTGCACGCCTGCATGTACTTGTCAAATTACCTTCCAGAGTTTGCTTCCAAAATGCTGGGCCTGGTTCTCAAACTTGTACAATTACTTTACTTTAAAAGATTTTTGGCAAATATAGATAAGTGCAATCCAAGAGTGGTCTCGTATCAAGAGGTCTAAATTAACAGTTGATGAGATAATGAAAACCAAGTATTTCTATAACAAAAAAATCACAGGAATACCTTTGAATATTTATACCATTTACTGCATATTTCATTATAAAAGCATCTTGTATGAAATAAATATTTGGCAAAATTAAGCTACAAAAGCATCCTAGGACTGCAACAAAATGACACAAAATAATGCAGGGAAGCATCGTTCATTGCTGTTTATTACTATAAGTTAAATTACTTCAGCTGATTATCTCAAGTGATGTTAAAGAACTTCATCTCCAAGAGAATGAAATCACTCTCTGAGATGTACTTAAAAGTAGAGTTAATGGCTTAACTTCCTTCATAAGAGCATGAAATTGTAGTTCTGGATGTTTTAAGTACTCGAGCAGACGTATATGTAAAAAAGGAATCTACTTGTAATAAGATACAAGGATCACCTAATTTTGCACTGATAGATGACCGATGATAGTGTAGAGAGTTTGAAAGTATGACCATTAGCTTGAGGGCTCCATGTGCCAGGATCTCTGCCAGACAAGACATTTTCCATGAGCATTATACAAGCTTTCAAAAAATGTAAGATTGTGGGAGATTTCTAAAATATTCTAGGAAATGGATCTTGAGACAACCCTTCACAGAAACTGTGTGCTATCATAATCTAAGTTCAAGCAATTTAACAAATAGGAGTCAACTTTATTTTATTATGTTGTAATGACTTCATAGCATATGATAGAAATAAATAATAATAATATGTGAAAAGAAGCTAGATACTCCCTCAGCTTGTAAACAGTTTATGGCATACATGTTTCTGTGAAAAAACTGCTGAAGTTCCAAAAATAGTTACTGATGCAGCAACTCTCTAATTTAAAGATCATTTTTTCAGTGAAAATAAAATTCCTGAACAGGCACAAAACTGTGGCCTCGCTTGATTTCCGCTCCAGTTTCATGCCCAAATAGATTGCATTATGCTGGGAAGATACCAAGACGGATACAGAACTGATATAAAAGCTGATATAAACCCACAACACTAGAAAGGCATTGTCAGGCTCGTGATGTAAAGACTCATCCCGATTTCCTCTGGCTTTCAAAAGTTGGGTGTGGGGTTGAATACTTAACCTGCACGCAAAGGTGCTGCCTCGGGGTGTGACAGTCACGGGCTGGTCTCTGCAAAACCATTGTCCAAATATCTGACAGGAGCTGTAGCTCTGGTAGACTCTAGCACATGCAGAATATGACCACTTTTGGAAGCAAGTCTAGAAGATTCATCAGAGTTTTTCTCACTCCTGTGATAGATACTGTTACATTTTAATGTCTTTTGTAATGGTCCTCCCTTTTTTTTTTTTTCCCGCAGCGATGCAGGGCAGAAATCTGGGTCAATAAGTCTGGTCTTTTCTTAATATTAGCTAACCTTCATGCCTTCCCTTTCTTGAATGACCCTGTTAAATCCATCTCCCAGCATGGGTTACTAGTGGGTTATTATTTTCCTATATCTTTATACTAGTGTAATAATGAAATTACTAAATCACATATATCCCGGAGCTGTTGATTAAGAATTGCTTGCTGGTACTCTTTTCAGTCTTCCCTGCCATAATTTGCCTTTTTTTGTTCTAATGAGACTTAGTTGTCTCCCTCTTAAATAAGTTTTTCCTACTAACCAGTGCTGGATGAATTTCCTTTACCACACTTCCTTTTTCATTATTTTTTACTTTGATTAGTTTTGTACCTAAAACGGAACAATTAACATAGAAGAAAACACATAATAAACATTATGATAAATATCAACACATTATAAATTACGTGTATTACAGTGATTGGGTTAAACATAAAATGATATGTTGAACCAAACTTGAGACTTAAATGAAATAAAATGTTTATGGAACAAATCTGTGACATGCAACAGCATAATCATAACAACCTACTGGAGGCATAGGATAAATAAAATGTAAAAATAAGAATTGCACAGTGACTCTTAATGGTTAGCTGCATTTTCTCCCAGAACTCAAGCATAATTGTAATACATTTTCCAACTGTTTCTTTCTCCTTACAGTACTTGGGGTGTATAGAAGTCTTACGCTCAATGAGATCTCTTGACTTCAATACTAGAACACAGGTTGCAAGGTAAGACTTTGTACAACTATGCTTTTTTAAGTAACTTCTGACTTGTGTCCCCAGAGTGGAAAGGCTGGGAAGATGGCAAAACACATAGTAAAGAATTTTGGACACCTTCAGTCCACTTTCTAATTTTGCTTTTACAGGTAAATCTCTTACTTGGTGCTAATACAGCTCCAACAGGGCTTAAGGGATATTTTCTTTGTGGATTTTTGATATGCCAGGAGGTACTTTAGAAAATGTTTGCCTGTTTGTTATGCCAAGTAAGGCACTTATCTCGTTACCAATTTCATGACATTCAAGCCAGTGAGGATGAAAATACTCTTAAAATCTATGATGCATGGGCAAAATTAGTCTAGGGAGCTGTTTTGGGGACCTGTGTTTACAGATTTTTGCATTAATTTCTTATGAAAAGGTGTCAGAATTTCTTGGGAAAAGATGTCAGAGTGCAAACCATTTGTATCCTAAAAAGGATAGAAATGAAAATATATCACCACAATGACACCAGAGACAAATGGAATAACATTTTCTTTTTCAGACTGTATGCAAGAAACAATAAGCTTGTATTATGTTCTTACTGCAATTCTTTTAAATGTGTCATGGTATTTTCGAAAGAGCAGTACATAAGTGCAACGCTCTCTAAAGAAGTGTCCATGAATCATTTTGTTCTAAGAAGAATATTTTCTAAGAACTATAGGAAACGGTGTTTTGCAGGCATTTTCACTTGAAAACCTGAGTCACTGATTTCAGAGGAATGTGATTTCAGAGGAACGAGGCACTCGTAGCAACTCGAGACCGCAATTTGCAATTTCTGGAATTGAAATAATGAAGAAATCCTTTCCAAAGAAAGGATATAAAGGATATAAAATGGCACTACTGGATACAGTCCTTGAATTTCACCTCTTTGAGGCATCTTGCAGTTGCCAATAAGTCTATCATAAACCATTTGTCGTGTCATAAGCAGTTAAGTGTTTCTTTTATCAAATGAGAAAAATTGCTTGGTTTTAGGCATGCATGCTGATCGTATGGTCTATATGCACTGACTTTTGAGTTATACTTGCATACAGCAGCTTTGAGTTGGACCCCATAAGTCCCCACAAACACTGATTTGTCAAGATGCTGCATTGATGAAAAGCATAAAAGCCCAAGGAGAGGTAAATGACATAATTCTCTTTTTCAGGCGATGTGGACTATGGAGGTATTTGAGAATTTTACTACTGTGCTTTTAAAAAAACGTCATCATGTACGTTTCTGATGTATTTGCAGCAGTGAACTTTTAAAATTATTCCATGTCTAAGCAGACTTGTAGTTCCAATGCAGGTGGTCCATTTGTGTTTCCCACTCAGAAGCTCAGTGATACTAGCCCGTGAAACAGTTGTGATAATTACTGGGTTTGGTTTCTGTAACCAAAAGTGAACCGAATTCATCTTTATTTTTCTGCTATTTCCTTCACTATGTGTCTTCATTGGAATAGTTTTGTACTTTTCTTATTATCTAGCTTAAAGGCACAAGTCTGCCATTAATACTTAAGCATATTTGGTGATCTGAAACAGTATGGTGTACACAAACAAAATATCTTTGTCTTGTAGTTCCTTCAGTATGAAAAAAAAATTATTCTTGGCTTTTACTGTGAAACAGACTTTGACTTATATTTTTTTCTGTTGAAGTTATAGCATATTTTACTACATGGTGGTCATTTTGTTGTCCCATCTTCCTCTGATCATGTCTATATCACAGGATATTTTTTTTCAAGGAGGAAGTCGTATCTTCCTGTTTTGCTTTTTATTTTGCATTTACAGGTTTTTGTTTATCATAAAACACTGAAAACTCATAATTTTGATCATTTAATTCTAAAACTTTTCTGAAAGCAGAAGTTTTTAGGTGACTTTTGAATCAGGATCTAGCATCTTAGGCTGCATTTCGTTAATTAATCTGGCTCTAGAAATCTCCTTGTCATGTCTTATGTTTTTGGTACTCACATACTTTGTCATACAGCATTTCTCATACAAGCCTATTGTTTATTAAGAAAGTATTATTAAAGAATTACTAAAATTCACATGTGCTGATTAACTTCCTCATGTGTATTAAGAAACCTAACACACCCTAAGGTGTGTACTGAATTAATAAGGCTGATGTTCTGATACTACATGCACCAATTCCCTCTTTGAGAAGACACCTGGCGCCGAACGGTCTGTGCAGCCCTTTGATTACAAATGAAATAAAAGCACCTGAAACTTACATTTCTGTCCACTACATCGTGCATTTATTTTTAGGTATGTCCATTGCTGATTTCTCCGCAGCTGTCACCAGTAAAACTCTCCTGGTAGCCTGATGGCTTCTGGTGCAGTGTGACCTGCAGAGCCCGGGCCTGTAGATCTGGTAATGTTAGCCGTGGCTGCACCAGCTGAGGAACCTGGATCCGTAGCTGCAGTGAAGCCTCCTGTGTGTAAATTTCTCTGTGCTGTTTTCCTACAACCGCAGAAACAGATGTCACAGCAGCTGTGATCCCTTTCTGACCCAGAACTTCATAAATTGATCCCGCTGCATGCATCTAACCTGTTTGACCTGTTATTTTGCGAAGACCTTGCAAAACCAGTCATAGCAGAAAGTGATCTGTCTGGGGCCATATGACTTCTGGCATTATGCAGTGTTTACTAAATACGATTTAAAAACAGTTAGAAAAAAATGATTCAAGTTACCTGATTTAGTGTGGAAGTCTGCATGCATCTCTTCCTAATAAACAAAGCATTGTGTTTTTCACGTACAAGCACTCCTCTTCTAGCACTGCCTCACATCTGTCCCTGCCTGCTTTCTTGCCCTTCTTCTCCTTTATTCTGAGCTCAAACATAGGAAGTCAGTCATTAGGAATCCTCCATTTGCCTTCTTTCTGTCTTCCAATTATTGCATATGTCACTTTATGTCTCTGCTTGCCTTGAGGATGAGCCAAATCCCAAAGTAGGATAAGTTCCTAGAATAAAAAACTTGTGTGGCTCAGTCCTGGGAGGGTCAGACATGTAGTCTGTGGCTCTGCTGAAATATCTGGGTATTATTTTAGACAAACTGTTAGTCCCAGTCACAGACAATTCTGTGATTAAATGAATTAGTGCTTGTAAATGGCACTTAAATTGTTGAGCGAGCATTTAGAAATCACTTAAAAATTGAGCTAAGATTTCCACTTATCTGGTGAATTAGAGATAAGAAATCAATGAGCAGAGCTTGTCCAGATAACTTGAATGGCTTTGAACATCCCAGCTGTTATAATGCATTAGAAAAGCATATGCATCAGAACTCTGGCTTCAATTTCAGGAACTGCATTGAAGCCCCAATGTAAATAGTTTGGTCAGTGGCCTTTCCTGCCTTATTGCAGTCACGTGAAATATCAACTCATGCCATCTAATGCTGTTGTACCTAGCCTGTAACTTGTGTTTGTTTTGCTTTTTCACTTTTTTGTAAACTATAATGTTAAAACTTGCAACAAGACGTTTATCTCCATGTGAAAGCAAGTGAGCAAGCACTTCCACGTGTCCTACACTTCACTGGATCTTAACAACCTTCGTGGTGCCTTGCAAAGCTATTGTTGTCCTAATTTTGTGTCTGATTTGAGAAAAGTGAACAGCTATGTACAATTTATAATAGATTTTCCCCTTTATGATTCACATTTGAAGTCTCAGGATTCTCTCACTCCAGGACAAACAGAAGCAGCAGAGTAGTATAATCACTTGTATTGTATTTATTCTTTTCTGTAATGAATGTAACATCATGTGAACTCTTGAGCAAATAAATGGATGCACAAGACAAGGGTCAGCAGTTATACACAGTGATAAATGGAAGCCAGCTGAATCCACGTGTTGCATCATTAATTATCCAGTGATAATTCTGGTAACACATGTGAAGTCAAGATGACTTTCCTGGGGAGTGAGACGAACAAAAGCATTTAATTTTCAACATATTGGAGCAACAGGAGGACTAGCAGATGAGACTACTGGGCTAACCACAGGTGGCAAGTGGTTAAAGTTCATCAGAAACCTACCGTCGTCCTCACAGAAGGGGCCCCTCTTAAGTTTCTGTGGCCAGGCCCTTTGTGCCTTTGGGCTCTTTATTAAAAAAAAATAAATTAAAAATCAGGTAAAACTCCTTTGCAACATGTGCAGTGTTTGCAGTTCATGTAATATGTTTGCATCCTTATTGTTCAAGCTGTTCTGGTGTAATGAGTCCTCACTTCTGTGTTGTATGCATGAGTGAGTTATGCACTGGTTTGAATTAGGTGTTGCATGCACTGTTTTGTTGTACGTCCAAGTCTGGGCTACAAGGGTGCATGTTCACTGGCACTTAATGCAATGCCATCAGTTTGCTGCATGCAGCATCAGAAAGTCTCACCTCCCCATGCTGAGTAAAACATTATGTTGCATGCTGTCTTAATAGCAAGTAGATCAGAGGACTGAAATACTTCGTCTCAGCGCTGGACCCAAATCCAAACTCTGATCCCAGCCCTCTCCACGAGCAGTGTTGGGCTGAACAACTGGAAAGAGATTCCTGTCCAAATCTGTAACCTGAACTTTATTAAGAATATTATTAGAGCAAATCCTTTTATGCCAATATCCCAAGCTTTTGGAGGAGAGATGGTGGAAATCCAAATTTTAGAGCTGGATTTGAGTCCAGTGCTAAGCAATACAAATGAAGCTCAGTTGATGTGGTGTTTCAACTAATATCTGTATTCTTTGCAGAAATCCACTGTCGGCAAGCATCACTGAAAGAAAGGGTGGAAGACATTGAAAAGGAAGAATGTTTCTCCTGTGATTTTTGAAGGTGGATAGGTAATGTGTTATCTGCAGTGAATTCTTTACTCAGTGTCCTCCTTAACACACTGTCTTGCTTAGAAGGTGAGTGCAGTTCACCTCTGCCTTCTGCTGTGTGTACCCTGACTGTGGGGCAGTGCTTATGGGATGGTGCTTAGGGGATGGCAGAACACATAAACCATTTGGATGCACAGCTGTGTGCAGGAAGGAATG